ACATATTGGCCTTTGGCCCATAAAATGACTGAACCTACATGGCTGTTTTATTCCAAGTCAGATCATCATTCGACCTCATGATTTTTGACTTGAGCTGTCCAGAACTTTGTACCTTGCAGAAGTTTGGGTCTTGAGTTAGTATGGCAGAGGGTGCACCTACCCTGTAGAAATAATGCAGTTTGACACCACTTTAAGTGCTGTAGCTCCATCCTATTGAATCCTGGTATCTATAGTTTTATATGGACTTTAGCCTTCTCTGTCAAAGAGCACTGCTGCTTCAGAAAACAACAAATCCCAGGGATTCTATAGGATTAAATTAAAGTGATGTCTTACTGTATTATTTCTACACTATAGATGCACCTCTGAAAGTTCAGATTGCTTGGAACTATATTCATAAATGTTTTCAGGCCACCAAGCTAGGAAAACCTGCTGCTCTTAAGATACTTTGGACTACAGGTTGGGAAAGCACCACTGAAGCCAGATCTCTCAATTTCCTTCCCACCTGAATATGTCAGGAATTGAAATCTGTTAGCTTGTGCTTGGAAAATAAATGCTGTGTCTATGAGAAACAATATTTGACCAGACTTTATCAAACAGATGATTCTTCAGTGTATTCTTGGAAAATCATGTTCAGTTAATCCAAGAAAAAAAAAAACCAGGATACGTGTCTCAGTTTAATCAATGTTTTTCTTCATTAGCTCACATCTGGCTCTTTTGACCCTGGGTTGAATCATAAAAATGAGTCCCCCTATTTCTTCCACCTGACTCCAAATGAAAGACCTCAGTATGATGGGATTGTGCAATTACTGAAGCATTTTGAATGGAACTGGATTGGCCTTATCTTATCAGATGATGACATAGGGGAAAAATTTCTTCAAACTCTGAGACCAAAGCTCTTGCAGAACAATATCTGCATTGCAGTAACGCAGTTTATTCCAACTGTAACAAGTCACAAGTCAAATATGACTTTAACTATTATCCTAGGAAAAATAATGTATCAACTTTGGTGGCACAAACTCAATGTATTTGTCATCCATGGAGACAGTCAATCTATGGAGGGTTTACGAATAATTCTAGAAAACTATGAATTTATAAAGATGCATCCAATGGAGAAGGTTTGGATCATAACTTCTCAGTGGGATTTCACTGCTACTTTTCCTTGGAATAAATTCACTGCCAAGTCCTTCAATGGAACCATGGCCTTTGCAGTTCACACAAACATGTTGTCAGGATTTCAGGATTTTATTGAAACAATAAATCCACTTCAGTCAAACATTTATTATATCCAATTTTTTTGGTTCACTTCATTTCATTGTTCTCTCCCATTATATAACTTCAATGTTCCCAACAAGGGTAACTGTACTGGACAAGAAAAGTTTGGGGCTCTTCCTGACACAACATTTGAAATAGGAATGTCTGGACAGAGCTACAGTATCTACAATGCTGTCTATGCTGTTGCACATGCTCTCCATGCCATATATTCACAGAGAACCAAAAAGAAAGCAATGGGTCATAAGGAGAAATGGATTGGTCTGGAAGTCCAAACTTGGCAGGTAAAATTCAAAGACATTCTTTTGGTTGTCTGGATCACTATGCAAAGAGATCTTGTAGCACCTTTGAGACTGACTGAAAGAAGGAAGTTGGTAACATAAGCTTTCATAAACTAAGGGCCTTTGCAGACTGCCAGAAATAGTGCAAATTGAGTCCATTTTAAGGGTTAGGGTTAGTGCTAGGGAATCATGGGAATTTTTTTCTGGGACATTGAGCCTTCTCTGTCAGAGAGCTCTGGTACCTCAATAAAATACAGTTCCCATGATTCCCTAACCCTACACCTTAAAATGGACTCAATTTGCACTGTTTCTGGCAGTCTGCAAAGGCCTTATGTCTACTGCATCAGCTGCACCTAAAATACTGTCATTAGCATCACAAATGTTCCATCTTGAATATGTTAATTTATTTTGTGAAAAAACAAAAAAGTTACAGTCATTTTGGTTTATTGGTGCAAGTATGTGGGAGGGCCAACCATCCATATTTCTGAATCTCACTTGAGATTCAGGGGCTGGATTAGACAGAGTCAGATTTTGTAATGCATTGGTTTGAAGTGTGATGGAAAAACAAGTACTGTAATGGATGCTTTCAATAAATAAAATGAATCATAAATAAGGCTGATGATGATCACCAGCCATGATGACATTGTAATACCTCAGGAGAGCAAAATCAGTTGACATCTTGCTAAGGAAACACAAAGAGGAAGACATTTCTAGACTCATGTCCTGGTTGGGGGATACCCATAGTAGGAATGGAATAAATGTTTAAAGACTTGAGGAGTACGGTACAGAGATCCAAAAATGGGCCTTCTTAAGTGCCAAGAAGCCCCAACAAGGAGAGTCTTCCCAAAGATTCTTTTTTATTCATCCCTCCTCAGTCTTTGAATAGACTATTGCTGACACTTTAGCCAAGACTGACCCTTGTTCTGCTCTTGTGGGCAGGTAGCACCAGACACTGACTGTAATCCTTGCTTAGATTCTCCTCCTCACCCCATCCCTACAATGACCATGTACTGACTGGTGGGGGTATCAAGTTAGGAGTGTTTCTGCCTGTGTTCTGATAGCCAGTGCAGGCACCATCAGGGACCTCTTGAGGGGTGGTCATCTATCAGTTCCAGAGGGTCATGTCATCATCCCATGTAAGCTCTTAGAACATAGCCAGT